CTCTTTCCCGAACGAGGGATAATGACATATATGTGTAATCACAACTCATGGTGAATCATTTTAACTGGGCAAACCCTATGGTTTTCCTCTTTTTTTTGGGTTTTTCATATAAAAAATTATAGTATATCTACCTGTCGTTTTTATTTATTGACTGTGTATTGTGTTGTCGTGCAATATTAAGGCGATAATTCATCAATCTATCACAAAGAAACTTCTACCATGCATCACATTTGTATGACGTATTTCTTATGCATTTAAATATCTAATACATATAATTTCATATTTACATTTATAACACTATGATGTTATGAACTTTGTATTAAAAGATGCAGATTATTTTTAAAATAATAATAATAATAATAGTTAATTTTTGCGTGATATTAATCATTTGAGGGTTATGTTTGTAAATATGAAATTTTAGGCGTTAGATATGTAAATATATAAGTGCGCGTATCGTAGTCTGTTGGTAGAGCAGCCTAATAGCCTCTCTGAAGGTCGAAAGTCCCCTCAGGTCACAGGTTCGAATCCCCTCGTGTGTAGGGTGTGGTGCTCGAATATTTAGCATGCCTAGAGATGATCGGGACTTGTCTAATAACCTTCGGTCATATATATATATATAATGTACCGTACACATACATGTAAATGCCCTTCATTTTAACAAGAATTTAGCTAAAAGAAATGACTCAAATTTTTTTCGTGTGTCAACTATTTACCAGGATTTGGGCATATTAATATATGATGAATTTCAAATTTTTTATTGGGTTGGACCCACTAATAATTATGAAGTAAAATATGATTTGAATATTGAATAAATTAAATTGATGCCATAAAATGCATTTATAGCCTGCCTCTCTTATCGGTTCGAAGTTGCATGGGAGAAAAAAAAAAAGGACTTTTGTATCCAACGGCGTTTTAAGTGCTGCAAAAATTAAAATATTAAAAGCTTAATTAATGATTCATGCCTCGCCGGTTGTGTTAACGCTATTATATGCGACGTTTGGTAATGTACTTCCGGCAATATAAAATAATAAAATAAATATAAATATATAGCAAAAAAGAGATTTTCTATTAAGATCAAACTCTAAGGTGCGGCGCATTAACTAAGTCCCCCTAAAGCAAAAAATTAAGAAAGGAGGTGGATGATGAAGAAACAATAACATTATGGGATTCACTTCTATTTCTAGCCAAGAGATTAGTAGGCTTATTACCTTCTATATATATAAAGCTAAAAATGACTCTTAAATCTTTGTTCTACATACATACATACATACATACATACATAATATACATACATACATACATAATATACATACATACAATGCATACACGCACACACACACACACACTACTTTTACAACGTATTTTACCTCAAAAACAATATCTTTTTATCTTAATCAGTCCATTGAAGTGCCTTCAATTTTTATTTTATTTTTTAAAAGTATTATTATTATTATTATTATTATTATGTTGCAGCTAGAATATCAAATATTAAATTCCAGCGCACTTATCACTAAATGTGATTAAGAGTATAATTTTCTCCTGCAAGATTGAGCGTTCGAATCACGCATATTATCCACCGGCCCTAGTTTTAAAAGATATATTTAACTGTTAATTATTACGGGTCTCACATCACATCAATAAAAATTATAGAAATCGAAAGAATTGAGTGGATTGGTATGAGGATGGCGATGAAATAAGAAATGCTCTCTTATTAAAAAAGAGGGAGGATCCCCTGCACCATGAATTGCCTACTCTATTTGTAGATTTCATTTGGCTCTACGGATGTATGGTTACACAAATTGACACATTAAAAACTACAAAATACATTGGAATAATTACTGTCACACTGAAATGCATATAAAGCATAGTGTGAAATAATGTTGTTGGGCTATTATAGCGAGTTGATGAAATTGCCCAAATTTGCCAAGTTTGTAGGGTTGAACTATGTGAATGCTTGTTTGTCAAGTTAGCTAAACTAATATTTTATTCGGATTATTTAGATATGGTTGAATGATTTCACCGATTGTTATGCTGTGCTGGTTGATTTTGGCTTGTTAACTTCAAATTTTTATATTTTTTTATTATAAATAAAAAAATTCAAATATAAGATTGTTGAAACAAGATAGCACTAATATAGATTATTATAATGTTCAACTCAATCGAAATAAGTAATTTTTATTAACCAATAAACTAAAATTTATGAATACTAACTACTTCCATTTATTTATTAAAAAAATTATAGAAAATGAATGTTGTTGTTGTGAGATCTAGATATATCAGTTAATGTGGTATATATATAAATCAAACAGAGGGACGATCGACGAAGCGAAAAATAGAACGAGAAAAATTCACACCAGAAAAGAAAACACAGGACAGCGGAACAGACAGATTTACGTGGTTCGGCAAATTGCCTACGTCCACGGAGTTGCAGATACTACTTGAGGAATTTACATTTACATCAGTCAATCACCTCAACTTAC